ACCTCAAGTTGAGAGAAGCTATTGACTGAAGCAAATTTCGAGAATCGACACCGAAGCACCGAAGAATTGCTCCTAGGTCTCGGAATCTCTCTCGGGAGCTTTTAATTCTTTTTTTTATTTAAACCTAAGAATTCTCCTTTCGACGTGCACACAAAGTGAGCGATAAATAACATCGTATATAACTGTGAATGCAGATGTACATGTATGTACATATACCTACAGTGCACTATGTGGAATTTGACCCGTTTTAACACAAATATACATATATAATTTATATTGTATGGATTCCTAGTCAAAGAAGTTCTATCTGCAAGGGTATACAAACTTCGGCGTGCCGAAGTTAGCTTCCTTTCTTGTTTCATAATAATAATGAAATTGATGACAATGATGAAGTTGAAAATGGCTACATAGAATAATAAAACAAAAAAAAAAATGTTCTTAAATAACTTCTATATTTATTATCCGATCTGAACCAAATTTGCAGGACACATTTAAAATAACAAATTCATCCTGTGTTGGGGTCTCTAACTTGAAAATTGCTTTAAATATTCCATTTTTTTTCGATAGAATCATGGCTTGTGCATGCATGGCGGCATTTGGAGTCGGAATCTTGGCGTTAATCGAAGGAACTATGGACAAACATAAGTACCTCCAATTATTGAAGGATAAAATTGACCAGGACGCCAAGAAATTGGCCATAGAGAAGAGCTATCAATTTTACAAGGATAATGGCCCAAAGCAAAAACCAGATTTTCTGCAGACCTGGTTGCAATGGAACTGCCCTCACTTAATGGATACACCTGCCTAGTCTCCTGGCCTTAACGTCATTGAGAATTTGTGGCCAATTTTGGATCTTCGTATCCGCAAGAGGTTGATACCCAACCAAAATGATCTCAAAACAGCTCTCTTTGAAAAATGGTATAAGATTCCAAAGGATACAACAGAAAATTGGTTCCTTCGATGGAAACTCGTTTAAAGGATGTAATTAAGCAATATGTAGGCCACACAAAACATTAGGTTTATTATTATAATTATTATTTAAGAACAAGTTACTTCCACGAAATAAGCTGTGACAAGAAAAAAGTCAGTATTTTTTTTTTATTTTAGTTTTAAGCGTTATCTAATTCTATTTGAAAATAATGAAGTGTCTTAATAAATCTCTAAATTCTATTTAATAAAACTGCATTTAAATGTTCTTGATATCTCTTACAGTTCGTTAAATATAAGAGTTTAAATTTTAAGTTTACCTCTGCACGAAATAAGCTGTGAGCCACTGTATGTATACACTAGTCGGCATAAATATTTTGACCTACCCTTGTTGCAGATTATATCAAGGAACAACATATTGGATTATTAAATAATATGGTTTCTTATTAATTATAAAACTATAAATATAAAAAATAAATATAATTTTTAACATTGAGTTTCTTTTTAATTTAATTAACAAAGAAATTTAATATGTGGAAATAGAGATGTAACAGACATTTTTTGATCTTTTCTGAATTCGTTTTAAATACGAAATTAACACAAAGCAATATATTTTCTTTATATCGTTTTTATTTCATTTACATATACATATAATATTTACAGTTGCACATTCACAGTTTTGCTGTTGCTGCTGATCAAGAATATATACACTATATATGGTCGGAGACGACTCCTTCACTGCGTTGCAAACTTCTTACTAAAATTATAATCTATAATAACCCAAAATAATTGATAATTTAACTAGTTTCTTATTTCTTTAGTCTGGGCTAGGTATATTGTAGCTTAGTGACAAATTCGCTCTTAATATCCAATTTCAAAGGTCTACAATACTTTTCGATCAGGATATAGATGGTTCTGATGGTACATTCGGAGCAAATTTTTAATAATGGGACTTAATTGCAGCCAGATTTAATATATCGTATTCATGTGATTTGATAAGAAAAAAATTAAACGCTGTACTTCTAATATTTATTACTAATACTATTTTTTGTCTTTTATGAGCGCTTAAAATGCTTGTTCATTTAATCTGAAAAATTATTTATCACTATGGGCAGCAATACACATACACGAAATGGAGAAGGTAAAACACATACATATTTCATATTATAGATCCCGCCATGAACCAAAAATGTTTGTAAAAGATGAATTAAGAAGTTTAGAAGAGCTGATGCAGTTAATATAATAAAATTAGTAAAGGGAAATACAATATTTCGTGATTTTGGCTTTTGAAAAAAGTGTATATTCGAACATTTTTAAATTGAAGGTGACTTTGATCTCACATCGTTAGTAGGTGTTTTTGCTCGATTTTCAAATAATTTGTTAATGCAAAACTGTTACTTTATCGAATTGTATGTTTTTGTTTCTGGATTTATGCACTGGCATAACATCTATTTTATTTGATCTTTAATTTTTCACTCAGAACACTTAAAAGCAGCGAAATAATTGAAAGCACATCACATTTCCTTTTATTATTTCATTTTATTTGCAACTTGATCATCGCTTTGTATTGCTACAACCAATTGATCGCAACTATTGTGGGTTTGTGATGTTGTAACTATGAAGTGATGCGGAATAATGCGGAATCGTTGTTTGTGGTCGATGCAGTCGGCATCTCAGTCACTGGAAATAGTTTATTTTTAGCCACATTGTAGTTAAAATATTTCGTGTGTATTAAATCACTCACTTTGCCGCAGACCCAATCAATGAATCTTTGTTAATTAAAATACACCAGACGATTACGAACAGAACTGCTAATAGGATGACCACATTTACTCCAATTACTAATTGTTTATTATTTTCCCAGGTCATCATCTTGTCCAGAAATTGCAGTTTTAGCCGATGGGAATTGTGTCGTCTTTGCAGCTCAGAAAATCACGCTTAAATGATATTGTAAGAAAGTCACTGCCCGAAGCTAAGAAATCGAAAAGTCTCGAGCAGAGAGCCGCTCTCAGGTTTTGAATCTAAAGAGAGTAAGAGCCAAGACAACGAGAGGGAAATTATCTCTTTTGTTTATCAAACGATATTTCTGTACTTCCCCTCCTTCGTATCTACGAATCGAAATGCCTGAATGTGGGATTAAATGGGGACTACAATTTATTTCAAATGTTTAAATGTCTCGAAAAGATTATCTACTTAGTATTTACAGAGTGCATCCACAAATATGAAACTTGCTGAAATTTTATAATCCTATTCAAAGGCGATTTATGCAAGTGAGATAAAGCTATTATATTATATTACATATAATATTTACAGTTGCACATTCACAGTTTTGCTGTTGCTGCTGATCAAGAATATATACACTATATATGGTCGGAGACGACTCCTTCACTGCGTTGCAAACTTCTTACTAAAATTATAATCTATAATAACCCAAAATAATTGATAATTTAACTAGTTTATTATTTCTTTAGTCTGGGCTAGGTATATTGTAGCTTAGTGACAAATTCGCTCTTAATATCCAATTTCAAAGGTCTACAATACTTTTCGATCAGGATATAGATGGTTCTGATGGTACATTCGGAGCAAATTTTTAATAATGGGACTTAATTGCAGCCAGATTTAATATATCGTATTCATGTGATTTGATAAGAAAAAAATTAAACGCTGTACTTCTAATATTTATTACTAATACTATTTTTTGTCTTTTATGAGCGCTTAAAATGCTTGTTCATTTAATCTGAAAAATTATTTATCACTATGGGCAGCAATACACATACACGAAATGGAGAAGGTAAAACACATACATATTTCATATTATAGATCCCGCCATGAACCAAAAATGTTTGTAAAAGATGAATTAAGAAGTTTAGAAGAGCTGATGCAGTTAATATAATAAAATTAGTAAAGGGAAATACAATATTTCGTGATTTTGGCTTTTGAAAAAAGTGTATATTCGAACATTTTTAAATTGAAGGTGACTTTGATCTCACATCGTTAGTAGGTGTTTTTGCTCGATTTTCAAATAATTTGTTAATGCAAAACTGTTACTTTATCGAATTGTATGTTTTTGTTTCTGGATTTATGCACTGGCATAACATCTATTTTATTTGATCTTTAATTTTTCACTCAGAACACTTAAAAGCAGCGAAATAATTGAAAGCACATCACATTTCCTTTTATTATTTCATTTTATTTGCAACTTGATCATCGCTTTGTATTGCTACAACCAATTGATCGCAACTATTGTGGGTTTGTGATGTTGTAACTATGAAGTGATGCGGAATAATGCGGAATCGTTGTTTGTGGTCGATGCAGTCGGCATCTCAGTCACTGGAAATAGTTTATTTTTAGCCACATTGTAGTTAAAATATTTCGTGTGTATTAAATCACTCACTTTGCCGCAGACCCAATCAATGAATCTTTGTTAATTAAAATACACCAGACGATTACGAACAGAACTGCTAATAGGATGACCACATTTACTCCAATTACTAATTGTTTATTATTTTCCCAGGTCATCATCTTGTCCAGAAATTGCAGTTTTAGCCGATGGGAATTGTGTCGTCTTTGCAGCTCAGAAAATCACGCTTAAATGATATTGTAAGAAAGTCACTGCCCGAAGCTAAGAAATCGAAAAGTCTCGAGCAGAGAGCCGCTCTCAGGTTTTGAATCTAAAGAGAGTAAGAGCCAAGACAACGAGAGGGAAATTATCTCTTTTGTTTATCAAACGATATTTCTGTACTTCCCCTCCTTCTACGAATCGAAATGCCTGAATGTGGGATTAAATGGGGACTACAATTTATTTCAAATGTTTAAATGTCTCGAAAAGATTATCTACTTAGTATTTACAGAGTGCATCCACAAATATGAAACTTGATGAAATTTTATAATCCTATTCAAAGGCGATTTATGCAAGTGAGATAAAGCTATTATATTATATTACATATATGTACATATATCAACCTAAAATGTCTCTATCTCTGCGGTATTGCCTGTTGCCTATTTCCAATCTTATCTATCAATCAAATCGTGTTTATAATCATTACCTAAAATTCACAAGTTCAATGCTATTATTTCTTTACCAAACTTATTTTTTTCGGCTATTAACGTCGGCCATCAAAAGACTAAATACTTTAAACACCTAAAAGAGCTTTAAACTAATTTACAGTCTCATTATCATGAAAAATATTTATGTGCATTGTGCCATAATCAAAAAACCGTTTCTCTGGCTTGTTGTTCACTTCGAGCCTAGCTCTAAATGTAGCATCCACTGGCACTTGGAATGATTTCTTGGTAACGTCCTTTCCGGTTATGACATCCTGCAGCAGATTGAGTAATGTCTTTGGGGCCAACACCATGCATTTGATCATTAAGCGTGGCTTCCTTTTGAACAGTTTGCCTGCCTGAATGCCATATGTGTAGACCACATTGCCGGTATCCTTGAAACCGCTGCAAAATGATTAAATAAGAAGATATTATATAAAAACTACAATGGAGATACTCCTTACCCATAATTCTGATTCCTTTTCACGTAGTAGAGCATCTCAGCCAGAATGGACAAAAATCCGATTCGCTTATTCCGGTTAGAGGTGCGAAGATTTACCTTCCGTTCGTCCATCACGCCGAGAAAGACATGGGGTAGTTCCACAAGGAGCTGCCAGTGCATCATGTTCATGTCCGATTCCACGATCCGAAAGTTCTCAAATACCTACAAAACATGGTCAGTTAATTAACAGGCGATAGGGAACCACATTCGATACCCACTCGCAGGAGCCTGAACAGTGCAATCGTGTAGATAATCCGAAGATCCCGAACACTCATCCTTGTCGGATCCTCCCCCGGCAAGGGTGGGTCCTCCAGGCCAAGCTGTAGACGATAGAGGAAGTCGTATATGACGGAAGGGCTGCCGATGGAGTTGAGTTCATAGAAGTAAAGTATGTTGCTGGCATATTGTGACTCTAAGCCCGCCTGCAGGAAGTTTCTGGCAGTTCCGTCCATGATCTGTGAGTGACAAGTAAAATTTCTAATAATAATATAAAGCAAAATAATCAATCAAATATGTATAGTTTACCTGCAGCAGGGTTTTTAAGCGCTGGTCTCCAGTGCTATCTTTCTGCTTTTTTTGGTAGGCAAAACGTGCCACATACCAATTGTACTTGTGCATTATGTGGCGAGTGTGGCTCTCTCTCAGCTCCTTGCACACGCCCCGTAAATACCTTTGGTGGCGAAAGTCGACCTTCGAGAATATAATATCAATAACATCGTATGGCAGATCTAGCAAAGTGAGCTTCCTTTTAATCGGGAACGGCTCCTCCTCCTGGGTCTCCGACAGTGACATGGTAATTCGGGAATAGGTGTGTGTGTTAAAGTTAAAATTAAAAATTTACTTTCTGGTGTGATTTAACGGATTTTTATTAACGGCATGACAACGGCACGCCTACTCGATATTAAACTTAGACTGCGTTACAGTATATCGTATTATATTGAGCTCCAATAAGTTGGTTACCTTGTTTTTGATCGGTTTATTGATCGATTAAATTTATAAAATCTAATTAGTTACGCTTACGGTGCCCATTTTTATACATTCGTCAGTGCAAAATATTATCAACATGAATAGATTATCAAAATGCCCTATTCGTGGGCTAACTTTAGTCAAAAAGGATTACATATCTTGAGTCGGTTAATGCTTCAGTGTGGTCCATGTTACGAGCACCTCGCATTGGTCACACAATAAATTGCATCTGGGACTGGCCACTATTTATTTTTCTATTTCTATACACATTTAGAAAAACAGTTTTGCAGCTTGGTCTGTGTGTGTATGATTCTTTCAGTTATTTGAATTAAATTGTGAGAATACTTTTGAGTAAAGTGCTTCTAGGTATATATGATATTATGTATGTACAATGAATGTAATTCGAAACCATTTAAAATTAACAATTTCCCCAGGTGAAATAATAAATTGACTCTCTTTATCGCCGTTCATGTCAATTAATTAGTCTGACAATGATAATATATTAAAAGATAATATATTTTTAAGAGGGAAAAATGCAGAAATGATTGGCCTGGAAACGTTACGATGGGAAGGAAGCAGAGTTCTCAGAATGTCATATAATTTAATGTCCAAATGCAAATAGGTTTTAATTAGAATACACGGTGGATGGGTCATAAAACTGTTTGTAAAACTCAAGCTACAAATCACGTACACCTTTTCCTGGTAACCTAACCAGAGTCACTGCAAACTCGGGTAATTTACAAACTTTTAAGTACAACAAACAAATCTGAAACTACAACTGAATCTGAAACTGATACCGAAGCCTAAATGTAAATGCAAATGTTCAATGAGTTTTACACAATTGTTTTGCTATGTAGATAGATAACTAACGTTACGCCTTCGCTGCACTTAAGAACTACGCAAATATCTCTGCAATTAACTAAGAAAACGAATTAGGGCTTGCTGCTTTCGAAGCCGGCAAAATCGGAGGCCTCCGACTCATCCTCATCCCGCTCGACGCCGATGCAATGTATTCCCGTGCGCAGCATGGGCGTGCCCTTGCCCTTGCCCAGGACCCGGGCGGCAATCACCAGCTGCAGCAGCTCCTTCGAATTGCTCGAGCTGACGATGTGCAGTACCTCGCGCAGCAGCTTCTCCTTGTACGCAAAGAACTCGATCTTCATCTCGAAGAAGTCGTGCTCGTCATGCTTGGTGCCCGCAAACTCCGTGATCCGGCAATGCAGATTCGGTGTGGCGCTCACCACCGGCTCGAACTTGCTGCCCGGCAGCTGCTTGCCCGTATCACCGAACAGCGTCGTCGGCAGCTTCAGGTCGATTAGGTAGCGATGGTTGATCTGCAGGAAGCCCAGGCTAACCGCGATCGTGTCTCCCGACCGTTGATATGTCACACAGCTATCCGACTCGAAGTCATCCTTCACCGTGGCCGCATCGAAGTGGACATGGTGGTCTGAAAAGGGTAAGATGTAAACGTTACTATTCTGTCTGAATTTAAATTAATGTTCAATCATATTCTGGAACTACAATTTTAAATCCATCTCTGTAGTTTTTAACAGATCGGAGATTTACCTAGCTGTTTGCATTCTTAACAATTTGTAAATGTACACAGTGCTTAATTGAAAGTCCTATTTGTTGAACAAACAAGATTGGATGAATTAAAAAGAATGTTCTTCCCGCGGAAACAAGTCGCAGGCTAAAGGCCGTCAAGGGGGCGCAGGCGGCAGGTGGAATCGAGTAAAATTGCCGTAATAAACATAAGTATTCCGAGATAATCAAACAAGCAAACAGAGGTCTCCGCGACACCGCCTCGAGTAAACTTCCCCCAGCGGCAGTTGCCGCGGAAATTGCGTGTAAGCGTGTAATTAAACGCGCCCCTCCCGCTTCCGACGTTCCTACACTGTACAAAAAACCAGAAGGTTAAATTTTTTTTAATTTTACTAATTATTAAACATTTTTTCTTGTTAAAAAGACATAGAAGAAAGAGTAATAACTTTGTATACTTCCTCTTAAATCTAATTAAAATTCTAATATAAATGTTTTTCTAATTACAGTGCAGGAAATAAGAGGGGGAAACTGCCTGGACTTCCTTAGGGCTCAAATTGCATTAAAATTGGGTCAATTGGGACCAAGTGCACGCACTTCTCTGTGATTTCAAGCGTCATATTTCCCGCTGACACTTACTCTTCCTCCAAAAAGAAACGGAGGCGGATTGCGATTCATGGAATTGAATTTATAAATATAAACTCATTGCTGACTATGTAGGATTTTAATTGCTGCCAACACGCCAATTGTGCGCTAACAATGATGAAATATCAAAAAGAAACTGTCGAATTCTTTGTTGAACAGAAACCATTCAGATGAAAAATTAGAACAAATTTGCTCAGCAACTAAATTATTTTTAATGAAAGTTAAAGGAAAATGAATTGGAATTCTAGTGAATATATTTATCAATAATTATATAATATCTGAATAAACAATAAGCCCTTGGGCAATATCTATTATAGAAAATAACTTTAATAAAAACCCCAAAAAATAACAATATTAATAGTCACTTCCTTGTTAAATTTTAACACCTTTAACTGGCATCAGATGACCGTGGTTTAATAACTATTATACCCACTATATATAATTTAACTACAATCAAAATTAGCAGGGATTAGTAACCAAATCGCTCTAATTGCCGGCATGGGGCATTGAAAATTTAAGTAGCACTTTAATAGAATGCTCGTTTTGCAATGCAATTAACAAATTGCTGACAAATGTTTATGCAGCCATTAAAATTTTGACAACTTAACGAGCCTCTAATCAGACATTTAATCATATTCGCAAAATGAAAATGAAACAAATAATCTAAATAGTCGTATAGTTAATCATGCGATTGCCTCAATGAGGTTGTTTCTTTTGTTGCCATATTTCATTTTGGCCCCGGAAAAATCGAGTCTTTCACTATAAATAGAAGCCTTTGGCGGATTGGTCATGGCACTGCCAGCGGCAATTGTGAGGAAAATTGGAAAACATTTCCACATAAATGTGAGAGCGCTTGACAGTGCTTAAGGTACCCTAAAACTGTATGTTTAATGGTTTTTTAGCAGAACAAAATTACAGGGAAATAATCAAAAGAACCCGTTTCTTCTTAGGCATAGCTATTTCCCTTTTTTTACTTAATGAGTCCGTGTAGTTGGTGATCCATTTCACCAGTTAGAACTATAAAAGCTAATCTATTTTTAATTCAACTTTCTTCCCATGAATTTAATGCCACATTTTCCGCTATGATTTTGAAACGTTTTGCTTGGCTGTTTGGTATTTTTAAAATGATATTTTGTTTAGTTTTGTGGTGTCGCCACAATTGGAATGTCTGCGCCAAATGCTTGATCTTTGTTTTTCATTTATCATTAATTTTTTTCCCTTGTTGTTTCCTTGACCATTCCCCTTTTATTTTGATGTTTATTTTGGCCGCTCAGCAGAACGTCATAATTCAATTTTGCACTTTAGTGCGCTGAGGAAATGTCGACAAGATATTTATGTGTAATTTCCTGAGCTTTTTTGTGTTATTTCCCTTTAACGCTGCCGAATGCGAAATTGAAGTAATTTCCCGGTCGCTCCATCCTTAATTCGCAGTATGTAAGCAATTTATCGTAATCCAGCTTAATCTGCTTAAACCCGACTCAACAATGGAGGCGAGCTCCCAGGTCCCAGGTCGCACAATGCCCACCCAGCGGAGAATCTTCATCGCAGGCGAATTGTTCTTTTTATAAATGTCACGCAAAAATCTGGCAGACAGCAGCAACTCTCTCACGTGCCCCTCCAATCGAATCACAATTGATTAACCATTAATGGAAATTCACAATCGATTGCGGCACCCAGTTATTGCTAGAAATTCAAATTTGAGTCTCGACCATTTTTGGGATTCCATCATCTCTGCACTTGCCAGTCTCGCACTCGCTTTGGGGGCTCCTCAATTTTCGTATGAATGTCGAGAAATTATCTGATGCATATCTGGCAGATTGTCTGCCAATTGAATTCTCGTTGGCCACATCTATGTATTTCAATTGGTTCGTTTGCTCGAATATCATCTAAATTAATGCCAGCAAATGGGGGCAAGCCAATCCATGTTTGAGTGAATAAAATCAGAGGGTATAAAGCCATGATCCATGATCGTTATCTGCGGCTTAATTCCGGCAGGAAGGTTTAGGATTTGTTGGGGAGAGCATCTTCAATAAGATATGGAATAAATGTACATATATTGTTCTGAAATCGCTTTTAAAATATTTTCCAAATGCATGCAGCATTTTTTAGAATGCTTTTTGACACAATTTTAATTGATTTCAAATCCTTTGCTTACTCAATTCGGTATGTCTCATATGACTCTACATCATTCATTGCATTGCTTTCATTGTTCAATTTATTTAATAAAATATATAATATCTTTTAATTGCTTAAAATCTTTTCCCATTCTGATTTAAAGCCACTACATCCATTGCCATCCTTGTTGAATCTTCATTCATTATATTCTGTAGCATACTTTTCAACTTCATTATAATTAATTTCAAATCTGTACCTATTTCTATTTCAATAAATAGGTTAAAGATTAGTTGCCTTGTTTCCATTGTTTATAAAATATTGTAGCATGTTCTAACTCAAAACTCTATTTAAGTTAATTTCCAATCTGTACATATTCCAATCCTCAGTATATTAGTTATGGTGCTTGACTCCACCTTGTTGTTTTCCATGTTTATTACCTATTTTTACCCCCATTTGTGATTACCAAAATGTGATTATAAAGTGGCTAGTTCTCCATCCGATTTATGCAATACCCTTCCCAGCTCAAATTGAATGCATTTGTTATTGCTGTGACGCTAACTCTGAGCAGTTGGACGAAGGCTATGTACTTGTGGGTCTGCTCCATAACTAATTCAGGTGCCAACCGGAATCGCTGTTGGGGGATGCCATAAGAAGGCATCCATTTGCGGTACGTGCCAAATCGAATATAGAATATATTTATTTATTATACCAGGGAGAGGTATAGAGAGAGGGAATGCCGACAAACTGCAAACATGCATAACAATATTGTAAATTTTGTTTTCGAAATTTTCGAATCAAAACAATTGAGTAGGAGGTGTCCGTGTCCCAACGAGACAAAATATCAATCACGAACACCTCGGTGTGGTGGGGTGGTGCGGTGGATCGGTGGATGGTTGGCTGACTAGGTGGTTGGGTGGCTGGGTGGTTGGGTGGTGTTTTCGGTTATGTGGTCTTCCCTCAAGCAGCAAGCAGCAAGGGCAACGAGGCCAAACAACGTGCCTGCCCGACAGTCCCCAAGCGCTATAAATAGACCCGGACTCATGTGCATTGCACAATTGCATATCACACAACGACACAAAAAAAAAATACAAAATAAAGATTACAATAACAGCAGCAGCCTCAGGTTCTATGCAATTTAATTAGACCCAATGGGGACCGGGGGGATCGTTTTCATTATAACCGCCGCCCTGACTGCCTGTTGGTCTTGCTGGAGGCGCTGAAACTACATCTAATCTCCGGTCGGTCGGGGCGCTACATGAATTCACAATTGGATTGTTTGGGAAACGCTCAACAAATATCATCAAGTGCTAACTCAACGACAATTTGCATGCATTTTCCCCTTAAGAAATTTGAATGCTCTTCTACTGGTCACTGAAATTAAATGTAGCTTCAAGTACTACAATATTTTGTGTACCAAATAGATAATACTTTCATATAATAGAACTAATATTAACCCATCATAATATACACAATATGCTTGCCACTTGAATTCCAAAACGTGATAAGCTCTAATTGATGAAAGCGTATGTATACGACAACGAAATGGAAATTATATTTGTGCTTTCCCATGTGTTTATGGCACACAATTCATTAACTCCTGTCAGGAGATCATAAATAAAAATTAATCTAAGACAATTTAAGAACGCTTCAACTGGCTCAACTGCCACTGATAAAAATTCTCAGCGAGCGCCGTCCAAAAAAAAAAAATTAAAGATAAGCGAACCCCATTTAAGTCACGCGAATCGGGAATCGCCGCAAACATGGGAAAATCATCGATTCCGCCGGCAAATGTCAAATGATTTCTGAAAGGGGGGCGTGGGGGAGTCATTTTGTGGGTGGGTGGGTGTTGAAGGTTGACAGTTGTTGTGCTTGTGTGTGTGTTGTGCGGGTGTGGGACAAGCAAAATTGGCTTAGCTTTGGCCATGAGCAAATATTATTTTTAATATTGCGGCAGAAAATCAGGAAGAGGAGGGTCAGAGAACAACAATTGGCATTGGCGAAAGGCGAGGAAATGTACAAAGAAGATGGGAAGGAAATGGGAAAATACATATTCATACAGTTGTATGTAAACATTGCGAGAAATGTCATTATATAGTTGAAAAATTTATACAGATTTAGTATCTTTGGTTTTATAAAGTTTCCTTCATCAGACTAGTTTTTTAGTTCACAATTAAATCTTAATGAACCTTTGACTATTTTTAAAATAGAAAAACACTTTCAAGACCTAAAACAATCTGATTTTTCCAAGTGTAGCCCACTTATGCATGTGAATGTTTATCCAAAATGCAGCTGCCCCGAATTCAAGCCAAAGGCCAAAAGGCAACGCTTTTTCTCGAGTGCCTGCCTGTCTCTACGCTAAATTTAGCCAACTTTTTCTGTCATTTTAATTAAACAAGAGAAAATCTCTCACAAATCCCCGCCACTCAACCCCTCCCGCCTATCAACAAAAGTCTAGAACCCACCGGCTTTGCCTAATGGTATTTTAACGCACTGTTTGAACATTAGAACGCCAGTTAATGGCTATGCAAATGACTTGTGCAAACAGCCTAAAAATACGTTCAATTCTTTCCGCAATTTACCTAGATGAACACCTTCGTCGCACATTTTGCACAATGCCTTATCTGGTATGTCCTTGTTGTTGGTGGGAAGTTAAATGCAGGCGATTCAGAAATCAGTTCAAGTAAAAGCGCGATTTGTTTTGTTGATTAGCTTTTAATTTTTATATTTTTCAGTTAATATTTTTAAGCGCGTTTAAATAGTTTTCAAGACGACGAACGAATAACAAAATAAACATTATTAGAGGTGGCAATAGCGCGATATCTACCTATATCGATATATTTGTAATCGATTTTAATCCAAAATTCAAATCTGTATATTAACGTTTTAAACATTATGCAAATTATTCCTTGTTTATAAAGTCTAGCTTCGACTTGAAGAAGGAATAAAACATAAATTTTAAAGCTTATTTAAAGGTACTTCAAACGGAAAAAAAAATTGTTGCAGAGGTAGGAAACTTTACTATGCAAATAAATATTAAAAAGATAAGAATTCTAAAAACAATTACTCCTTGAACAAAACAGTGTAGAAGACAAACGCCCATAAAAGTATTTTTATTATTATAATCTACTTTGTCCCTTCTCTCATTTCCAGACTGACAAATGCTATAAAAAAGGTAGAAAACATTGCTACATTATTCGATTAGCCAATTATCGATAATACACATTGAATAATCGCTATAAAGTGCTTAACTTAAAAATACTAAAATATACTACAAACGAATTAGACATTGTGCTAAAGAAAAATATACATATAAAGACCCTTAGAAACTGGCTGGAATATAACCAAAGTGCTTAGCCGCTTCCCACCAATTCTCAACCATTAAAATGTATAATTATACATATAAAAATTAACATTTATAAATACTATCATAAATTTCAAGGATTATTTAGTACCAAACTGATGCTAGCGTTGCCACATCGTTCGTATGAGCGCTGCCGGACCGCGCAAAGTATATATTTTTACAAAATGGTGGCTTCTCTTCGCGGAGAAATTAGTGGCTAATAATTCGAACAAAAAGCACCGATTTGGCCAGCGAATATTGGAAATTGCTGGCGAAAACGCTCGCAACAACGCTGGCCGCAGCCCGCTGGTGGAAAAGTCGCGAAAAAGCGCCCACAAAACGTGCACGGACCGAGTGAAAATATTCGTTGTGCGGAGGCAATAAAAAAACGCAAGCAAGCAACCAAAGTGCGTGCCTGTGTGTGTGTAAGAGTGTGTCTGTGTGCCGTGTGTGTGTGCGTCTGTGTGCTGCGTGTGGCTGTGTGTGTCGAGTGGCGCTCTTGGTGTGTGTGTGTGCGCAAAGTGTATGCAAAAAAGAAGAAGAGAAACGGAGAAGAGCATTAAAAAAGCAACACCAACGACGAGTTTCACGCGCCCAACAACAAAAACGGCAGCAAAAGCAGAAGCAGCAACAACAAAAACAACAGTAGCAGCGGCAGCGACAACAACAATTAGCCGACAAGCAACAAAAAGCAGCAGCAGCAGAAACAACAAAAACAACCACTAAATCAGCGACGGCAAGAGAGCTAAATAGAAAAAAAAGCGCAAAAAAAACACAAAAACAAAAGCAAAACGTAAGGAAAATCTACAACAAGTGTGCGAAAATTAATTATTACTAAGTGTGTCACTAATTTAATTTGAAATCGCCGGAGTGGCGTCGCAGTTGCGCAGCGTGCAAATCATTAAAATTTATACGACGGGGCGAGAAAACAAGGCGAGAAGTGGTGGGGAAGTGGGAGCAAAAGCGGCGGGCTCCAGTCTATTATGGACGTTTTTATTTTTTTCATTTTTTTTTCGGGGTAGAACAATGCAAACACGGACGTACGGAAAAGCGGACGAAGGCTCAACAAATTTGCTGAAAAGGAATCGCAAGCGCAGCAGCAGCAGCAGAACAACAAAGCAAAAAACCCAAGCGTCAGCAGCAGTAGCGACAACAACAACAAATAGCAGCAGGCAACCCACCACCGTTGTTGCGTCCCCGTTGATATTGCTCGTGTTCTTCTGTTGTTGTTGCTGTTATCGTCGGCGTCACCACCGACGCGACGCGACGCTTTGCGGCCAGCGCACCACCCCCCAAAAGGATGCTTTTGCCACTGCACCCACCATCCCGTTCCCTTGCCCACTGACACTGTTCCTGCTGCTGCTGCTGCTCTTCTTCTTCGGTTCCTGCTGACGTTTTCGGAATATGTTGTTGCTGTTTTTGTTTCTGCCAATAATAACCACAATAATTGTTTTAAAATATTCAATACTTTTATAGAGTATCTTGTCAATATGGTGAAATACTCGTCTCTTAAGGGATAAACACAAAAATCTTAGTGTATTTATGATTTCTGTGTGGTTAAACAACACAAATATGAAAAATACTAGGTACAAAAGTACATTTAGTTCAGAACAACCACCTACAAAATGATTTCATTGATTTAACCTAAAAGAAACTATAATTCCTTACCAGATCATAAATTCCCTCCAAATTTGATGACGCATTTTTACCAAATTTAGCCTAATTAACCAAATGCCAGGAATGAATATATAATTAATTGATTAAAGTGTGGGAGTAAATTGATGAGAAATATTTATATTTCAAACAAGTCAGAGAAATCGATTGCACATCTTTATTATTTATTTATTTACAAGTATTCCGACGAAAGGAATTTGCAATTGTTTATTTTATTTAGAAACAGTTGGGCTATAATTTACAATATATTATATGTTCAAGAAAGGGAAACTAATAATACAAATCGAGATGCTTAAACTAACAATTAATGGGTAATGAGCTTTTCAGTTTAATTGTTTTCACAGCTGATTTATAGTAAATTATTGGAGAATTACCCAATATGGGGAATAAATAGCATATAGCCTAGTTTTTGGACAGCCTGCGCCGCCTATTCGTGATTGGAGGCGTCGCATAAACATCGCTACTGTTGCATTGTGTTTCTTTGGGGATTTTATTCGCCCCCGTTCTCTGCTTTATTTTTTTCCTTCTGTTTTGTTCTTTTCTTAATCATCTTCGTCGTCTCGGCTCTCACCTACGTCATCTCTTCGCCTTCCAGCTGTGTTTGTGCAAATTAACCAAAATATACATTTCCGGCTGCCCCCTCGCTGAGCAACAACAACAACAACAACAACTATAACAACGACAACAGGAGCAGCAACAAAACCAACAACCAGCCGACCGCCCACCCCTTTCCATCGCTTCCATCGACCCAGAACACCATCATCAACATCAGCAGCATCATCATCGTCATCATCATCGTTTGGAGTCTGAAGTCTGGAGTCTAGTGACTGGAGTTACTTTGCCGCCTGCTGCTGGAGTGAGGAGCTTCGGGTGGAACGCCTCGAGCATCTATATACCCCGACCCCGGATTCATGGTGAGCCAAGACATCTGCTTAACCCAGCGCACATTTAATTATAATTATTTGTTTGCTTAATTCGATACTGCTCCCCGCCGATACTGGCTTGGGCCGCGTCTCATGTGTCACATCCCTTGTTGCTTCTGTTTCTGGTTCGGCGCACAGGAGAGAGGGCTGGCGTTTTCTGGGTTAATGGAGGAAACTATTTTTCAATGGGATCCCAAATCAATTAAACCGGGGAGGCGTGTGTTATAATCCGCGGCTATTGTTGTCCCTACTTATATGGAATTCCGTTGCCTATTTTCGTCCGAGTGTTTAAAGGGAAATGCGAGTTTTGACTGAGATAAGGTTCCCGACTAAAACCAGATCTTTATCACGGCTATTGTGGCTATGAGTGGCGGGCTAATTAGTTGCCTTGTACGGCAATTATATTAGCCTTGTCCGAAGCGGAACATATAGAACGAATTGAATCAGTAGAGGCATTATTTAAGGGAATTCCAGCGTGATTGTAAAAACAGTTGTTTTGACTTTTGTTGTTATTTGCTGGAATTTAAACAATTAAATAAAAACATTAGGTCTTAGATACCAAAGCTCATGAGGTGTTACTTGTTAATGCAAGTATTATTATTAATTATAGAATTAATGATAGAATAACAGCCTCTAGTTGTAATCAGTTCCCAGTTTGGGACAACAACTATTTCCTTATAATTGCTTCTTCGCTCTAGTTTTGTTCAGCTTAACAGGTTGCTATTTAACCCCATAAAAATACCACTTGGTTTTACTCGTTCGCGATCCATCTTTGTGCAGGCTTAAATCCAGGCTGACGAGGGGATTACCAGTCACATGACACCACTGGTATTTACTCATTGTTCACCCTAAGTCTCCGCGGCTTTATCTCTTCTAATGAACTCGCCACCATTTACCTTTAACCTGATTTTTAGGGAAGTTAGATATTTCGAGGGAAACAAGAGATTGATTTCGAGGAAATTCCCAGACAATTTGCACAACTCCGACGTGCTTATCTCTTTGGCTCCGCTCGGAACCGCCCATTTCCACATTTCCATTTGTTTAGCGCGCCGCTTATCTGCACCACCCAACCGCCCACAGTGACAGGAGTAAGTGTACGAGTGGGAGTAAGGTGGAGGTGGAGAAGTGTTGCGACGAGGCCATCTGATTAGAGACGCATTAAAAGGCTTGAGTGTTTAATTAATAAATAACGTGCTAATAATGCATTTAATAAAGAAGCGTTGCGTACGCCAAACGGAAACTCAAGGTGCGCAAATAACACGAATATTTCAGAAATAAAAAACCCAAACATAAAATACTGTTGAGAAATGGATGAGTTCCCTTTGCGGTTTCCCTGCTCTTCTGGTTTCTCAGTTCAGTTTGGTTCGGTTTTATATTTTGTGTACATTTATTTTTGTGTTTTTGTTTCTTTATTTTTCTGCTGGTGTGTTACACAGTTGCTGGGGCTGCCTTTGATGTCGAGGTTTTGTGCGCGCTTTCATATTTTATTATTAGTCATTTGGCTTATTTATAAGGTGCCGTTAAAGTTTAACTTTTATTAATCTGTTTTGTTGCGCTTTTAATTTATAAATGGTGCTTATCTGATTGAAAAACTCAGTCCGTCCGTCCGCGCACACTTGACTTGAGTGCCGATTTATTGGGGTCGATTAGAAGTGAGCGAAAGGTTTCCCCGCCTTGCCAGAACCTCCTCCGCTGCTCTGGAGTGTTTTCCCCCCTCCCTGTCCTGTGCCGTGCTCTGCTGTCCATTACATAAGCGAATTAATTAGCATTGCTGGCTGGCTGGTGTAGCCAAGCGGCTTGATCTAAGCCATCCCCAGACTAAAGCTGCCTCGGAATGGCTGCTGGAAAACCTTGGCCCTAGAGGTGTGTACGTGAGATAAGCTCGTGCGATGGTAATTTGTAAATAAATGAATATTTAATTGTGAGCACCAGAGGGGAAAGCTCTAGATGCACAGGAAAAATGTATATTAAACTATGGTAGATTATGATTTAAGGGAGATGATGATGAGAAGGTGTTATTCATCACTTAGAAACTTTATAAACCTTTGTTTTATACTTCATCCTTATGGTTTATGGAAATGTTTACCTCAAAAAAGGTTGAATTAATTATTAATGAGCTCATTAATTAAAATTCACTTGCTTAATTACGCCGGATGTGATAGATTCCAAACAAATTGGAGGAATGTGAACTTATTTTGCAGTAATTTGTACACGTCAAGAGAAATGATATTAAACATTTAAATATTAATTGAAGAACAGCCTCACGAAGACATCGTTCGTTGAAGCAGCGCCTGTCAGTGCTAAATTAATCCCAGTTACTGTTTCTGTTACGTGTTAACTTCATTTAGCGATAAGATAATTAGCACAAACACACACACAAAGTGCTTATTAAAATATATAATGCCGACAGAGAGACGTATTTGTTACTGTACGCTTTAGTTGAGCTAATTATTATTATTTATTCTTTATTTATAATGCGAGAAAAATAGGAATAATTAACATAAGCTCGTGTTAATCAGTGTAAAATCAATGAACAGGCCAAAATGGGTGAGAATATAATGCAAAAGCGTGTTAAATGGCCCCATAAATCTTTGGCGTTGTGTGTAATTCTATTAGGCGAGCGGAATAAGCGGAATAAGCGGCGAAATAATAGCAAAGAATGGGAAAAACATGCAAAGAGCTCATTTACACACATCCAGGCACTCGTGCAATGGCAAACAAACAAATAACGACAGTTCCATAAACACTAGAAAAAAAGAAGGGACAATAACAAGCTGAGGCTGCTGTCGAGCGAGGAAAACGAGGAATGCGAGAGTGCATGGAAGGGGGGAGGGGGAGGGAAGGGAAAAGACCCAGACAGCTCAGAACAGACACACGGCACCAGTGCCGCCGACACCAACCAACACCATCGTCACCCTAATGCCACATTTTCCTCCTCGAAAAGAGAGAAGACACATCCCGACATAAGTAACACGAAACAATTTCCAAATGAAGCGCGGATAAGCCGCAAAATCCTTAAAATACTCGATAAAATTACATAAAACTAATCGCACAAGCACACGCACGCACACCACGGAATTGGCTGGATACTTGGGGCAAAAAGAAAAAAAACACAAGGAGAAAGGAAGGAAGGGGAGGATGTGGTGGCAGTGGCGGCAGTGGAGGAGGCCAGGCGACGGCGTGCAAAATGATGAAGGTATCTACACCGACAATCTGTTTAACAACTTCATGAGCAAATCCAACAAATCGTATGAAACGAAGCCGACAGCAGGCCAAGCAGACACGAGTGCTCCTCGGATTCCGATTCGCTTTCGGATTCGGATTCAGATTCTGTTTCGGTTTCGGTTTCGGATGCAGACGACCGACGACCCCCGGTTCGGATCGGTTCAGTTCGCATCGGATCGGGCCAATGAAAGTACGCCTGGGGTGGACCCGAAACGGGGATTATCAATTGAAAGAAATATTAATGGGAACATCTGTTGCAAAACTCTTAAAAAAAGGAAAATTTATTTACTCATTCAATCTTATTACCAAATATTTATTATGAATGTTTTTGACTATATTTAATGCTTTTAATAATAAAAGATTCGGTTAATTTACAGTAACAATTTTGACAGTTTTATATCCTATGTAAATGAAAATTTAACTAAATATTTTGAATCCAGTGACCTTAAGAATTCGAAATAATTTTCTACATATATTTAACACGCATTTAAAACCAATGACAAAACTACTTTAACTAAATACAAGAGCTTACTTATAAATCAAATTAGTTAGAAACTCACTTAAACATTAATTTAACTTGCAATTTCCCTTAAAAATTCAAGCATGTTATAGAATTCAGATTTATTCTGATTTGTTCTGGTCCACCCCAGAGAGCACAGGTTGGCAGAGGCGTCGGACGAAAAGGGGGGCGAGTGCAGGGGCACCGTTGTGGGTCGTTTATTTGGCTTTTGGAGCGTTGACTCGTCGTCGTCGGCTGTGTGATGATGACGACGTCGACGACGACGAGGAGGAGGAGGAGGCTGCTTGAATAGATGCTCAATCGTTTGGGTTGAATGAAGAAAAGCATGTGGAGTGGCGAGTGGAATGGTGTGGTGGGGTGCAGGGAACCAGAGTGGAGTCCGTGTCCGTGTCCGTGTGTGTGGCAGAGATTGGAGCATGAATAGGAATGCCGGCGGGGCTGGTAAAGCAGGAGGAGGAGGAGGAGTAGCACCATCGCCAGCATGAGTGCCACTGCGGTGGCATAATGTTCTTGTTGATGTTGAGTAATGGGCATAACAACTGTAAGCTGCCTGTCCAGACAAAAACGAGAACCAGAACGGACCAAACCAGAACCAGAAGCTGAAGCTGAAGCTGGAGCTCGAACTGGAACTCGCAGCGAGTCGAAAAATGTTGAGCAGAAGCAAACAATTCCATTACCCGGACGGAGAAAAGAGAAATTTGTTTTATGGGTTTTTGGCTAAATGCTATCCCTCTCTATCTCTCTATCTCTAACTCGCTCCCTGGCCGACGACGACTAGTCTTTGTTTGTTTCTTTCCTGACTTCTGCAACGTCTGTTTTGACTTGTTGTGAAAATTTGGCTTTCACAACACGAATGAACCCCCCCATCCATCCATCAACTGGCTACTCGTAGATACACACACACACACACACTCACACTCCTGCAAAGTGCCTACCGACATTTAATGGGATTTCCGTACTTGACACGAACCCTTCAAATAGACAGATGCAGGCAGAGGCGCAGGCACACGAGTTCCACAAATGGGCATACATATGTGTGTTGTATACCCCGGACACCAGTCGAACCCCGAACCCCGAACCCCGCCGAATGAAATGCCTATGACGAACTCAATTGGCCATGCTGCATGGATAAAATTTGTGTGTGCGGTTCGTCTTGGTAATTAAATGGACTCCTCTCGAACGCCTTAATAGAGAGGCTTTTGTTATGCCCTCGGGAATGCGCCGGAGTTGGAGAGGAGGAGGAGGT